TGGAAATTTATGCATTGATTGATCTAACCATAAGGTCTGGAGTAAGTTCTCTACTACTTTACTGATCAATTTGGTGACAATTACGGTTTCATTTCGGAGGAAGTTTACCTTTCAGTCCTTTGACCGCACCCGAATAGATCTGGTAGAAAATGTGATAGCATCGTTCTCCGGGCGCCTGTTTGATAACCCTGGACTTCTCGAGAAGATCTGCAAAAATCGACGAAATCAACAGCAACTATAGAATAATCGGAAACCAAAAAAGACATACAGTGCTCAATATCGCCTCCGGCAACTTTTCCGGCTTTGTTGAAATGGATACGAATAAATTTTCCGAAACGAGACGAGTTATTGTTACGAACAGTTTTCGCGTTACCTGAAACATCGAATCAATCGATAATTGATTGGCATTATTGAGAGCAGAGCACAGCACACAGTAATGTCTGGGCGTCACTTACCGAATGCTTCAAGTACAGGGTTAGTCTGTACAATCTGCTCCTCTAAGGAGACACTTGACTTGTCTTCTTCTTCTTTCTGAAAAATACCGAGTTCTTTGGGGCACATTCTGGAAGTGCTTATAAGAATCAAAGCCTTGAGCGAAGAAAAGCGCTTCTGCACTGAACATTGTGAGGCAGGAGTGTTATGGCGTGTGATGCTCGAGCGGTTCCATCTGAGGGCAACCGGCTGCGTGCCAAGTCACTCCGCAGGAGGGGGGGGGGCGTATGGGAAGAGACTCCATCGTAATCTTGCTGTACCACTGCCATGGTCAGGATTTGTGTGCGTCATTTCTGTGCGAATCAGGGGATCATGCTTAGCCTTGTTGGGAAGGTGGGTCGTATTTGGTGTTGAAAGTTATTTTTTCTGATTGTTCACCTTACTGCTTCAGCCCCAGTCTCGGCAGGGTACGTTGTACGTTTGAGTACGTGGCGAACATGTAGCGGGTTTAACGGGTAAGCTACGGAGGTATTTAAACCTCCGATCCTAAAGTGTGGGTAGAGAGAAAAAAGTGAATGGAAAATCAGCAAGGATAGTAGTGGATGAGGAAGGGTGGGTCGCTAGCAGAAAAAGGTCTTGGTTTTGTGGATTTGGGGCGGCTAAATTTTTTTTCCCAATTTTCACACAACCACTTTATGGTCTGGTTAGAATGGAGAATCTCTACCCTGTGTCAGCCTACCTGGGAACACTGCATCAATTTGTTTTCTTCTAGAAAAAAATGCAAAAATAATGACATCAAAATGCAACAAGCGGCATGCTCCCATGGCTAGGAAACGGGCAGTATAGATCGTGCGTTCTTCTTTTGACAATTTTCATCAACCCGTCACCTTCTTATCCGAATACCCCTGGTAAAGATTTGAGATATTCCAGAGTCGCAGGATTTTGGCGGCATGACTTATCCTGTATAATCCACCTGTGACCTAGCAGTAGTAATCCTACAGTCAGTCATGTCCCTCGCAAATGTGATTCGTTCGCGGTCATGTGCCAATTGCCGAGGATGGCTGCCATGGCTGCTTTTCAGACCACGCCCCCTTGTAGGCCCTGTCGGTCAAGAGAATCGCCACTCTAGTTGCGCTCATGATAGTCCTCAACTTGTGAATTTTGGCGGAATAAATTCATATCCAAACTTACGTGTTTGAAATCTTCCAACCATAGCGAAATACGAGATGACCTTCTTGGTGTTTTCTGTCTTACCAGCTCCAGATTCACCAGTAATCAGCATGGACTGATTTTCGTGATCTGAAACTGCTCTAATTAGTTACATGAGCTACAATAGAGTGGACGTTACCGTTTTGCATGTTCCTGTAGGCCTCGTCGGCGACGGCAAAAAAGATGCGGTGGCATCTCGTTGCGACGTCGCCCTCTGGCTACATTGGACACGGGTTTTCCGAATAGATAGGAAGCCTTTTGTAGGGGTTGATGACGACGCAGAACAGGCCAGAGTAAGTCTGCAATACAGAAGCGGACCTTTAACTCGTTCATTTCAGCGTCGCAGTAGTTATTAAGCACCACCACAAAAGGAACAAATACAAGAGTATCAGAGAGAATGACGCTTCAAAATAGAAGAATGAGCTAACAGTTTTTTTTTTCGCGCTTGCTGGATGCTGGCAAGCGGTTTGAAGAGCGGCTCGTTTGGCGCCGGCTCCAGCCCGATTCAACCAGTTCCCTGTCGGTTCTCCCATTCAACAACTGTTGAAGAACCGACTGGAGCTGTACCAAGACCCTGTCCCCCCTGGTACTCCTGATACGCCCAGCATCCGTAGACAAGATTACACGTAATCTATGTCCTTTTCGGCGCATAGTAGCCTGGACCAGTTCGATGGAGAGAAATCCACCGGACACCTTTTCGATGCAAGACGTCTTACGCTGTCCCATTGGACAAAGAAATGGACACGGTCGATGGACCGATTGGTTCCATCATGTGCATGGCAAACCTACATAAATATCATTGAGAAGTATCGTTGGCGAAGATTGTGAAGCACAGAAGCATCGTTGAGAAACGTCAGATTTGCCATATCCTCGGTTTTTTCAAATTTCGGAGGATTCATCTGTTGAGCTTCATCCTTCTTGATGGTCTTCTAAAGTGGAAATTTCGTGATATGCGATGGCCGTAGTTGATCAGCAATTATTGAACCTGTGTAGGAGAGGACTTTCTTGCCTCTAGCACGTCCTTATCCTCCCCACCAATGCGATTACATTACTAAATATTTCCAAATTTCTGGACTTTTCCGGATTTTCCATTTCTTCACCCAAGAAATACTGTCGAGCGAGTCACGAAAGGGGGGGGGAGTGGGAGTATAGGGATCGTAACTATGCATCACATATTTCGGCCTTGGTAGCTGTATGGGTAATTTTATGGTGCTACTTACCACTGCGGCGAGTGAGTGGGGGGGGCGGTGGTGTAGCGCATAAAAAAAAACCGAAAAAGTCAACAACCAGAAGAAAATTCCCTGCAGCCCAAAAAATTTCTAACAAGACCGTACACGACTCCCTTCCCTAGTGACCAGGCACGTCCCCCTATCGAGATTCTTCTAACCACGCTATAGCCTGTTTCCCAACAAAGGCTCAGGTTTAGCGTGCAGACGTCTAGAATCGTTGGGGGGCAAACTCGCAATGAAGACATAGGCAGCGTTCAGACTTCGCGACATCGTCGATCGCGCATGCCTTGGGTGATCGACACAGTTGAGAGCATGCACGATGCATGTTCGGTCGCACGTTCGACGCGAACCGTGCGTTCTTCTTTTGAAAGGTTCATCAGCCGTCACCTTCTACGTATTGTCCATAACCCCTGGTGCAAGGATTTTGAGATCATTCCAATTGCCCAGGGATTTCTCGGGCATGACTTATCCTAGTATTAATCCACTGTGCCTGCAGTAGTAATGCTACAGTCAGTCATGATCCCTGCAAATGTGATGTCATACGGGGTCTATCGATCGACCGATCGCGTCGAACGCGCGACCGAAACGCTGCCACACTCTTCACTTCGCGTGAGCCCAGACTTGTGGAAGGAAAATATCAAAATATCGGAAAATATTGATATTGCCGACTGCCGCCATCCCCAAGCCATCTATTTATAGTCATGATACCTGCAAATAACAGGAGCACCCTTAGTCCACCACTCGTAGTGGACTCAGGAGGGCATCACTGGCGGAAAAGGTCGCCTTGGATACATTCTAGTCCACGCCCTATTACTTGCAGAGATCATAAACATCACAATGATGGGGGGGGGGGCAGAATTTTCTATTAGAATTTGTTGACAATTCAAGCTCGAAATAAACTGACTCAAAACACTCTAAATTTTTGGGATGTTCAAAACACGTACCTCGTTTCCCTTGCTGGTCACCACAACCATAACATCACCCTTCGTCGATTTGATTTCAGCGGCGATAAATCCCTCTTCTTTGTCCGATATCCAGACATTCTTCTTCGAGTCGAACTTCTTTGTACTAGCTGCTAACAACTAAATAACTATGTATATGTATTGATGCAGGCTATTCGAATGAATTAGTTCAGCTTTGAAGTTGTATCATCATGACAAGTACCTTTTAAAGGCATAAGGCACGATAATTGGTACTCGGACTAATGGTTGCAGCAGGGGTGTTAGATAGTGAGAAAGTTGAAAAAGCAAAGTGAAAAAAATGCAAAGTTAAAGGGTCAAAAATGTGCAAAATTTACGTTCTACACGACTGCGAAAACAATTTCGGACGAGTTCCCCGCTGGTATAGCGCCTATAATAGCTACGGTAGATACGGCTGTATTTAGGTACTCCATATCCATTCAATTCCCCAGCCGCTTCTAATCAATCCTTTGCTTCATACTGTACTCCGGGAGCGACACGAGCACCAGACGGGCTTTTGGGGCGGGTGGGCGCAGTGAGAGCCCGGGTCGGTATTTTACAGCCTAATAGGGCGCTATAAGTTTACCTTCCTTGGAGGGGGCGCCCGCCACGCAGCGAATGCCTTCCTCCAAAGCGTATTAATCCTTCACGTATTGGGGATTTATCGTGGCACTTGCCTCCGAAACGGGTTCACTTCACAATCTGCGGGACTAGCATTTAAAAAGATCAAAGTTTGCAAGCTTACCTGTTCAGGGGATTGCCGCAAAAACTCCCAGGCAGGATCGTTCTCAATGCTGCCCATGGCTCCTACTCAAATGACGTGCTGGGAAACGATCTTGTTTCTAAAGGGATATAAATATCGAGGAATTGTTAATGATAATCGCAACGCAATATGATTTGGGACTGATTTTCCATGTGAAGAAACAGAGAGGAAAGCATTGAACAAGCAACATGTATTGACAAAATAAGGACTGGCTGGTAGTAGAGTGTTCACTGCACGGATTGAAATACACTCCATATCATAGAGATGGAGTAGGCGTGGCAACGTACCTCACCGAACATGGCGGTGGCCGTGCCTTGGGGAAAATTCGTCAGTTGGAAACATTCATGACCACGTTTCTGTCCACCAAAAGGCAGAATGATAGCTGCTTCAAATGGAGAATCCAAGAAAAAAGAGCATCCTACCGCAATTACGCCCTCCCCATCTTTGGGATATGTAGTGCATAGAGTTCTGCATCTTCGCTTCAATTACGATTGACAGGACCGATTAAGAGTTCACTTCAAACTCAGTGGCAGGCTTTAGCCAGTGTGCGCGTGTCTCTCGCCTATCACAAAGAAAAACTAATGCTAACTGTTCCCGTTTCCGCGTTTTGGGCAATTCCATAGTAAGAAATATCCTATGTTCACTCAGGGACGGAGCTTTAAACCTAAGCCCAACCTAACATGATCTACAGATTTTTACAACATGAAGTTATGGTCTTGAATTCGAGATAAGATGGACGACGACAGAGGCGAAACAACTGCAAACTAAGCGGATGTTGCCCAGAGCGATAATTGAAACTTACAGATGACTAACCCAAATCGATTAGGGAGATGCGATTCATTTCTCAACAGCTTAACAAATGATTTTCTTGCGAAGCTCCGTGGAACCAGCGACTTCGAGAAGAGAAGGAGCTTGAATGTGATGGAGAGACCAACTTCAGAACATGACACGAATGGGCCCTCGAGTTTGAAACCATTCATAGCATAACGCAGAAGCACAAGTGATTGTACTTCACTGCCTAGAGTTGAGATGTATGGAAGAGCAGGAGCGCGAGGTACTTCGGGGATACCCAGCGAAGATAACCCTATATGGTCACCTAGGGGGATCGCATTTGCCTTTGGATGAAATGTTTTCGGTTGCTCACTTTCCGTCCACCCTCCGCCCATTGGTAGTTTTGGAAAAGACTGGGGTATCTTTTCGGAAAAGAGGTAGAAAAATGAAGAGGAGGGAAGTAGGATGTGGTGCGAGGGAGGAGGCTCTTCCAGAGGAGAATTCT